CAAGTGAAGTTTTCAGTCCGAATGTTGCCTCAACACATCTTTCGCTGTCGGAAAAGAAAACCACAACGAAGATAAATAAACATGATATTAAACATATACCTATTTTATCATTTCATATAAACAAGCGAATATAATTATTAATCATGTTGTGCTGTTTATTTTTTCCATTTCATCCTGAACGACGAGTGACTCGCCATGTTATTTCATTCCTGTACATGTACACAATTGGCTATTGTTTAAAAAAACATGTATACAAAAATTACAGGTGATCATAAGTTCAGCCTTTGTTTGTTCATTACGCAATACGGTTAATTAGTTGGTAATTGTATTCTCTCACGCGCGTACGTACCATTTACTAATCAACACAACAATACACCACCGGCTACACAGAGGCCATCAGCTGTTATAATTGCTCTGTGCACTATACTTAGACATATTGGTTTTCCCAGTATGCCAGGCCAAAAAGTCTATTGCACACTATACACGGATATTTACGGTGTTTAAGCAATATATATTAGTTTCTGACAGATATACTTTAGAAGCTAAGAACCTAGTAAAACCCTTATAACCAATGATATCTCATAGCATACACATTTTTGTAAACTTACCAAACATTCCTGCTCTTTTCATCAGCTTTTTTTTGGACAAAATTTTCATGGCCTACACGGAATAAACAAAGTTTACTATCATAATAAATAAGATTTTTCTCTACTTTTCCGACAGGTGGTATTATAACTTGAAAAACAATAACAACTTGTTTTACTCGCTAATTTCTTGAATTTAAATATCGTTAACCCTCGAACACTAACAATAGTGAGTTATAAATATACATCACTAACCCTCGAACACTAACAATAGTGAGTTATAAATATACATCACTAACCCTGGAACACTAACAATAGTGAGTTATAAATATACATCACTAACCCTCGAACACTAACAATAGTGAGTTATAAATATACATCAATAACCCTCGAACACTAACAATAGTGAGTTATAAATATACATCACTAACCCTCGAACACTAACAATAGTGAGTTATAAATATACATCACTAACCCTCGAACACTAACAAATAGTGAGTTATAAATATACATCAATAACCCTCGAACACTAACAATAGTGAGTTATAAATATACATCACTAACCATCGAACACAAATAGTATTGAGTTATGAATAAGCATCACTATATCTTGAACACTAGCAGTGAGTTATAAATAAACATCA